TTTCTCTACTTGTTTATTTTTTGAAAAAATGCTATTAAAATAGTTAGCTAAAAACAGCTTTGGATGCATTAAGGATAACTATTGTTAAATTTAAATATATCTAAGAGCAGTTTTATTGAGTTATAAATGTTTTTTTGCAGCGCATCGGCGTCGCCGCCGCCGGCCAAGGCGCGCCGCTACGAGACACTGTGGGAGCCGCACGCAGGTAACTGGGTAACTATGCTCTGCTTGTACTACATCATATATATACGCATCTATATCCCTTTCAAAACATAAACAAAAAAAATAAACAATTATATTAAAATTTTAAAAGTAAAGTTTGTAAAAATTGTATGATTTATTCAAAGAGATTTAAAAAAATATATGGAGGAAGCATATTTTTCACATGATCTCCTAGCGCTGTATGGTGTCCCCTAGTCAGAAATACAAACAAATAATTCAAACACTGAGAAGTTTCTCGACGTGTCAAAATTAACATTGAGATATTACCATTCAAAGAAGTTACCGGTGAAAAAATGTTGTCTATGTCTAGTCTATATATTTATTAATTGTCTTTGGATTTTATTAATTTCATAAAACAAGGGACATAAATGCAATAGCACTCGCACGCAATTTATAACACAAGTATTGAGCAATGCATTTTTAATTAGAAATTGTTATCAACATTTAAATCACTTTTAAAATGCCTGTTGACTTTGTGTACTTTTATATCTAACCCTATAAAATCTTGTACATTAGTACAATATAGATAAACAGTAGTTTTAATGTTGCATGGTTAATGACAGCTAATTTGAATAGAAAAAAACACCCAAGTATTTTGTATGTTAGTCTAATGTAGCTATAGAAGTTTTCATTATTTTTGTCTAACGCATGGATTTGGCTTTATTACTCGTTATTTAAAAAAACAATATAACCAAATTTCAAGTCCATTTGAAATCACATTTATTTCATGAAACATCCAGTATTAAAATTATTCAAATATTTAAAACACGAGTTCATATCTTCCCCAAAACTATTTTTTTCATTGCTATATACTTTTTCGTTGTTTAAAAGCAACCATACTAATATCATATTCGAAAGTTTCGATGGATGGACGTTTCTTATAGTTTGCTGTATAAACTGTCTGTATAGATTTCAAACAAATTTGACATAGAATCTAACTTTTTTTTTAATTTTACTCGGACGGAGTCCCGTGCGTAAGCTAGTTTTTAAATAAAAACAAGTTTACATATAATGTTACAGTTTATTTAGTTAAAACGCAAAAACTAGTGGCGTTTTCTCTTCTATTGCGTTAGTCATTTGGGTTTCAAAATTAAGGTTATGTTATCTCCACAGCGATGTTATATTGTGTAGTATTTGTAACAGATGCATCGAGCTCTGACGGTGTTGGTGAGTCGGAAGAGGCAGCGCAGCGCCAGCTGACCGACGACGGCTCCGACAGCGACGACGACGACTACCAGGACACCAGCCCCTACCTATAGGACGAGCCGCCCGACGTCGCGCGCCTCGCCATTTGAGGCGCCGACGTCGCCTAGCGCCTAGCGCCTAAAGCTCAGCGCCCAGCGCCCAGCCCCCAGCCCCTAGTGCTCAGTGCTGGTCGCCTCACGTGGACTTTGTAAAGTTGCAACGCGGTTTTCACACAAATTCTGCCCTCAAGAACTCGGAAAGTGTCAACTTGCAACATATCTGATTACACATGAATGTGTAGTTATAGTAGGTAACTGCTTACGGTCGACGTATCGAGGCTTAGTGTAGCCAATAGTATTTTTTTACTATTGTAAATCGTCCATTGTCAACGATGCCAATGGAGGGGAGTGCATTTCGTTCAAAAATACCGTTTGTGTTAAATTATTTTAGTGTACGGCTTCAAAATCGCGTGTCGTCTGTCTGCAAGACTCGAGTGAATGTATTTTATCCTATTAGGTTTTAAAAATGTATTTACTTTATTTATGATGAATTTAATTGTAAATCTTATCTCACTATTATGATTGTGCGCGCGCGTGCGGAGTGCGAGCGACAACACCTTGTTTGTATTCTACTTTTTGACAGTTGATTAAAGAGGTGCTTATTTTACGCTTGTTTCCTTTATTTCCCGAATGTTCTCTCCTATATTCTACGAAAATCAGAACATGATTACGTAATAGGCGTTATATAACTGTCGTATGACAAATTGATAAAAGATGGAAGAGGTGAAAGGTTATCTTTAGTTACAAAAAAAGTATGTCTACATTGAAATAAAATCTCAATCACATTTAAAATAAAAATGTAAAAAGGAAAATAAACTAACTATGGAATATATTTCAGTAAAAGAAAAATGAAATTATGTAAGAGTTTATTATATGTATTTATTTTCTAATACAAATAACAAATGCACATACAGTCATTTTGTACTTAATCTATAGATAATTAGAAAAGAATATACATTATATAAAGACTTGATTGAATTAAAAAGAATACACAATATTCAAAAATTATTTACTAAAAACAGAGTTTTTCACAAACATCAAGAGTAACCTTTCATTAATTTCATATTAATCTTTAACATTACTCAAGTGTGTACTTAAGTTAATAATTACAATAAAATAGATTCATTGACAAGCTTATTTAATACATAATATTAAGGAAGTCTGTTAACAAAATTATTTCTAGATGTTCACTTATCACAGTACTATCAAGTAATCTATTTGATCAAAGTTGCAATTAAACTTAAACAAAGTTAGAGTTCAGACTTATAATTATTTCCTTTTTCTCCTTTGGATTTAGATTCTATTTTTTCAAATAAACAAGAGTCATCTGTATTCCTCAAAGCATTCTTTGTACAAAGGAAATGTTTTAAATCTGTCTCACCTTGATGATTCCAATACCACTCTTCAATAGCAGATTCATTCTCTTCTAAAAGGCTCTCACATTGAGTTTTCATGTGAGTAATTTCTGCCGAGGGCTTATCCCACAGTTCATATGGTATCCCAAGATCCACTTTAACCCCCTTGTCTACAAGTCCATGAAGAGTTTTAAATGTTTGGCTCATACCTTTAGCAAACCGAGTGCTGTCTTGCCTCTCTTTGTGTATATTGTATTCTAGAATCCTCTCGCACACTCCCTCTAGAGATTCGATAAGCCTCAATTCTGATTTTTCGTACTTAGTTTTCTTCTTTGGCTGAACATCATCTAACGAATATCCAATTTCAATAACGTCGCGCACTCTGCCGGTTTCTTCAAGTCTCCCTTGAAGTTCTGTTGCTAGTACTTTGCATACTTCACATCGATTGGCATACTTTACGCCCACATCTTCTTCTGTCTTCACATCTATATCTTGGCTACATAAAATGTTTGCTGAATAAAAGATCGTCATATATATAAGTCCTTTGAAGAACATTCTGTTAATCGACCGAAACTGTGTGTAAGTCGAATCAAAAGGGAATTACCGGCACCGGTAGTCGCCGAACTTAACCAATGATACAAAAACCCCTCAACCTCGGCCAACCAATAGATGTTTCGTTCGTGTTTCTTTGAGTTTCAATTCCCAAACCTTCAATCAATTTTGATGTTAGACTTTGACAGTTGGCATTGACAGCCAAAGGAGTGAAACTGCCATCTCAAAAAATTACTATACGATACCACGCCATCTACTGATGCAAGTATAGTACTACTGAGCATTTTAGTATCTGGAAAACAATATAGATGGCAGTTCTTCGACAAAGATACCTTAATTTGGCACAAAAATTAAACATATACAGGTAATGACTCGAATGTTTATTGTTTATAACGTGGGAGACGGCGAGAGACGATAAAAAAATCTATTTTACCGTAACGAAAAGTTTTGCTTTAGATCTGGCTCTTTGTTTTTAAATCTGGCCCATCTCCTTCCTAAACCTGCAGACATTTACAAAACAAAAGTTTTTAGTGTTCTTTCACATTGGATCCAGTTCTATTTATAATATGTTAACGAGGAATATTATGATAGGTACCACTTTAATATCCCTTTCATCATTTTCCCAAAGATAAATTATTTTGATATGGGGTTGAGATTTAAAAGCAAAGGGTGATTTGTGGCAAGACTTTACCAAAACTAACTCGAAGAGGTATTCATAAATAGATCAATTATTCATAAGTTTGTAATTGAAACATAAAATATCCTTCAAGGGTTTTCATCCAGTCATTATCAACAACTTTTTCCAATGTTACTTCTTGAAAAATTTCACTTCTTGATTTTTCTTCAAAATGTAACTTTTTAAACATATTTATACTTATATTGTTTTCTATATTAATCTTTGCTTCAAATGTTTTTATTTTAATACATATTATTCCATAGAGGAGCATTAGGATGACTGCCTCCCAGCCTCTTTTGCTTCCTCTAGCAGTTTCTTCTGCTATCATTATTTCAATTTCTCCAACCATATTGTTTTTGTCAGTTATAAAAATATTAGTGTCACCAATCATGGAATCTGAAATGTGATTAAAATAAGAGAATAATACTCTGAAATATGCTCTTATGTAATGTTTTGCTTCAAAGGCTGAAAATAATTATAATTTTTGACCAACTTCCCAAGGAGGTACTCAATTTGTCTAATTTTTTTAATATGTAATTAGTAATGTTGTATCTACTAACTATTTTCATCTTGGTTTTGATCATATTTGTGTTTATCCAAAATTATAAATGTGCATTCTGAAAAAAATAGTAATAAATAAATGGAAAATAGTTACAGGTGTAAAAAAAAAACTTTTATAAATAAAATGGTTACTGTCATCGTCTTCTTGCCAACTTTTTTGCATTCGATACTCCTCTTCTAGAGTTAAAGGTTCAGATGCGGTAAGTTTTTGCAGCTCTTCTGATCGCATCCATGTGTGATATCTGACATTTAAATTAGGATGTTAAAAAAAAATTGCAAAAACAAAAGGACATATGAAATATAAAACATACTTAGGAACGTGATGCTCTCTGTAAGGCACCAGAATAGTATTTTTACCCACAAGCCTAGTATTAATGTTTAATCTCATCTTTAAATTATCGGGTAAAAACGATATATCACAGTAATAGTATGTTTAGAATATGATATAAATGAAGTGTGTAATTTCATAGCAAGATGAATCTGTTTTTTTCTTCATGGAGTTTTCAGATTTCATTTTCGTGGCTTTTGTTGACATTGACATGTTTATATTCCAATATTTGACATTTGTTAATTGCACAGCAAATGTCAATTGTGATTTTACGTCAACGAGTGTATTGCGTTCATTTTAAAAGCATAAACATAATGGTTACGGCGTACGCTTTTTCAAGAAAACTTTAGAATTCCACTACGACTATAAGCAAACCTTTTTTCAGCCTAAAATTCGCCTTTCTTTTATTTAATAATAGTAATTTTAAGTAAACGAAACTTTTATAACACTGCAACATCCTTGCTCTTAGAAACATTGACAGTTTTTTTTAAATTGTTTATCTGTACTGCTTTACCTGTAATGTAAACAAACTAAAACTTCGTTTACATATATTTTACCAAGATTAAAGTCGATTTTCTTGATTTAAGCGTTTTACAATAACTTTTAATTAAGCTGAAATCATTTCGGATACCTACATGTAGCCATAACATGCTGAATATCATCAAATGTCTAAAACTGATAAACGTTATCTTCAATCTATCACTTGTCCCCGTTTAGTTCATCAAATAAAGGGCGGAGTAGGTAGTTATAACCTATTGAATTAAGTGTGAACAATGAATCAATTTGAGACAGAAAGACGGCTCTGCTGGAGTTACGGACTCCTAGCCGTTTTGCTTTCTATATCTGTTGTGTGCATTGCAATTCCTTTCAATCATTGGCGTTCAACTCTTGACGTTTGCCCCGGAGGATATTTTGAAAACACAAACTGTGGATGCATCTTTTATGGTATAAGCACATTCCAAAATTTCAATGGTGGTCACAACTCGTACTGTTTGTATGCTGTTTTTGCTCCACTTCCAATATTAGTGTATGCTATTGTGATGGCCTCATTTCATATGTATAGAGTTTGCATCAACAATGTTGGACAATATGAGGGCGAGAAATCCACAACAGTCGAAGAAATGTAAGATTTGTAATTAATTAATTGCCTTTTGGAAAAAAATTACAATACAGTTATGACTTATTTAATATTATTTATAATTTCAGAGAAGGTGAGACAATAGTTGTATCTTCAAGAGCAAGAATATCTCAGCGTAATGATGCTGTGATTTACTGTTGGATACCAACCTCATGCATTGCGGCACTGTTTGCTGTTTACAACCTAGTCCATGCAGCCATTATAACTGATGGTTTTTTAAAAACATGTATGCAGTATCGGGGATATTTAGTCCGAGTAAGTTACAACATAGTATAGTTCATAATTTAGTAGACACAAATAGAACTTCCTTAAGAAAATGTACTGTGATGTTATAATTTTCGATTTTGCTGTTCTAAATAATTACTATTCTACTAGGCAAGTAATGTGGCCTATATTTAGGTAACTACATAGCTATTTAAGTAAATTACCTGTTTCTATAATGTTTTATGTATTCCACAGAACCTCAGAGCTGTTGGTGATCAGGCCACTGCTATACATTTTAGACTCAGTTGTCAGGCCATATATGACTTTATGGATTACATACAGAAGAATGCCCTGAGTGGTCGACGTGGCGATTTCATCAACACAGGGCTTGCACTGCAGCTGGCTATTATCGCCTCTTGGTTGTCGGTTTGTTTGTGGATAGCCATTACTGTTATGACTTCATTAAGGGCATATAGAGAACGAGATGTGCTAACTTGCTGCGGAAAATAAAATAGTAAAAAAAATAAAAAAGTTCTGCACTTACTAATAATGTTGAATGGTTTTAACCTTTACAATTTTTGTATTTTATTCATTTTGATAAATTTTGCTGATTAATGTTTATATATGGCACCTTAGTTTCTTAAGTAGGTAAAGATAAAAAGCATTAACACTTTACATTTATTTACAAGATTTTATATACCTCTACTTTGTCTTCATGTTATTCATGATGTAGCTATTTATTAGCAAAAGAATTTAATATCATTCCAGTAGTTTTTAAGTTTGTCACATACCAAAATAAACAACTTTTATGTGTCAAATATTCCAGTGGTTGTTCCACAGACGGAAAATTCTAATGGAATATTCAAACCATGTAGAATACACAAATTATTTCACATAGTTTAGCTAGTATTGGTTCTAAAAGTACATAAATATTTTATATAATGTAAGACTGAGAAAAATTGTATCCCACTCATTGATAAACATAACATAGTAAGTACAGACCATCCACTAGGTTAAGAGATTCAAAGCTTATTTAAGCTAGAGAACACTTTTTATGACATTCTAATAAACAGGTTTTTATATTTAAAATCTTGTGTGATCAATGGCTTTCCAAATAGATCATAACATTCCATTTATAATCATTTGAGATTTGCCTTATTGGCAATGCTATTCAGAATATATTTTCTTAAACATTATTTTATAAAACAAAAGTACATTAAATTTTACAATTTAAATATGTATTAGACTTTACTTAATAGTAATATTTTTACAGTAATAGTGACAAAAATAGTCATAAGTTTTAAGTGTTGTGCCGTCCAAATGTCTTATTTTGAGATTGTATTTTATGTCTTAATTTTAAGAGAAATATCTTTTATGGCTTCAATGGCGCTAATACATCGAATTGTCATTTTTTTAGTATTTCAAATGTGTATATTATAAAAGATGTTACATTTAGTTTTTAATAAAATTTTCAAAAGGAATATTTTTTTATTTTTAAGTTTCCAGCAGAACCCTTAGCTAAACTTGGCCTTTTTAAAATAAATAAATTACTTTAAATAAAAACCAATTTATCATCACATAAAATATATTAACATCACAACAAATCTACTTCCATACACTGTACACAACAACAATTAATATTATGGAATATATTACATTTTTGCGTTTACATAATATTTAAATTGCACTACACTGAGTAAATAGACAACTTTTTTTTTTAAGTCAGTGATACAAATAGTTAAAAAATAAAAGTTTTTAAATGTAGAGTATACACAAACCCTTAATTTAAAAATTATAAGTATAATGAAGAATTTGTAATTAAATAAGGAGTCTTTTAACTTGTTAAAATTATATAGAAAAAAATTATAAAGATTATACTTTCAATCTACATATTTTTGTATAGAAAATAAATTGATTTAAACATACAAAATTATACTCTTATTTTAATATCACTTTTGTTTACATCCAACTTTTAATAAGATAAAAATATGTTTCAAAACATTATAAGTGGGAAATTTACATATAACATAGAGTTGATGATATACCTTGAAAAGTCCACTTGAACATAGAATGGTTTCTTGCATGCTTCATAGAATTTTAAAGTTTTATCTGCTTAACATTATCTACATAAAATGCACGTAAACATGTAAATCAAAAAATTAAAAGCAATCAAATAATAAAAGTACATAAATGAATGATTCAATACAGACAACTTTTGCAAACAAAAAAATATTAGTCACTATAATTCAAGTTACTTTTATATTTTAAAATTAAAAAAAGTCTTTTTAAAATAAAATCCCTGTAAAACTTAATATAAAAATTAATATATTTAACGGGTCATCAGAACGACTTTTACATATAATATTTGAACGGAGAATAGACAAAATAGTTTACATGGTTAAAATTCCAATAATTAGGCCTTTATAAAAATCTAAGATTAGAATTAGATAAAAATTATATACAAAGTGAATAAGAATTACAAACATATGGCACTATAGGTTTATAAGATTTATTTCCATATAACATTATTTTATTTATTAAAGATAACTTCACAAGATATAGCAAATATATTCGAGTAAAATTCCAACAATATAGCCTAAGTTTATCGTAGATATAACATTAATAAATTCTGTGAGAATGTAAAATGTTCCTTTATAAATCCCTTAAAAATGGAAGCTAAAAATTGGTGATTTAAAAAATTAAGTTTACTGATTGTTGGTAATGAAATTGCTATATAGCCTGACCAGGTACAGTTGGGGAAATCCCCGATGTTCCACTCAAGAAAAATTGCCTTGTCCATTGCAAAGAGACAAACTCTGTCTCTTCCTACAGATAATTGATAAGAAAGCAGTGAGTGTTGCAAACGAAGGAAGAATAATAAAAAGAAACTAGCCATTTTGTTCTGTGTTTTGTTTCAAAATGTTAAAACGATTGTAGCTTTTAAGTTGGAACACCGCCAGTTTCCCCGATAGCTCATTTAAATCTTACCATATTGTGGTAAAATATGTACCTAATTTCTTGGTGCAATGAAGTAAAGCCGATTGTAGTATCTCATTGTCCTGGATTTTTATGTTCATGGTTAAGCTATACATAGAAACATGCACACTTATAACGATTTACGTGAAAATTACGATCCTGTGAGTGAACAATATAACATACACATGTCTACATCAAACATACCTTGTTAATTAATCTGAGAGTATCATAATTATCAGTTTTGACATTCTTCCTGCCAATTATTTGGAATCAAAGTTTCAATGTGTTCTATAAAACGGTTGTAAGTGCAGGGATCATCACAGAATGGCATATTCAACTCCATGGGAACTTCCACTTTCGTATTATTGCGATAGAATAACTGAAATAGAAAAACCATGTTTATGTATAATTAAAAAAAATCACATAAAAAAAATAATACAATTAAATTCATGTATCAAGTAATGATTTTTTTTGACTTCACATCTACATATCATTAATCAAATTGTCTTGTAATTTCTTACCTTAACAAAAAATGTATCTTGTTCGACTTCCTCATGCAGTTCTAGTACAAGACTGGCTCCATACTCTGGCTCCAACAGCTCAGTATAGCCGAGAGTACGCCACAGACTGACCACTGTCACATCATGCCCGGAATAGATGTACAGTGAACGATCCAAGTTTGTATGACTCACACTATCTTGTAAATTCATTTTAATTTCATTTAAAAGTGGACCTGTGAATTAAATATATGAAAAATTGTACTAACATTCGCTTAAAACGAGATAATCAGAAAGCAAATGGATATTTTTTACATAAAATAGACTAAAGTATGAAGCTTTAATCAGTGGTTTTTAATTAAGAGTGTTTGATACTGTAATAACATGAATATAAAGTATGATAAATATTCACTTACCTACTTTAAGCCTTTGTAAAGTTTGATTATACGATAACAAAGCCAGACTGAGCATGAACGGAGTACGCATTTTATTCGGGAACACATTCTTTGTCCAATCTGGGAGTTTCAATCCTGCCTCCTGTTGTGTTTGCAGAGTGCTGTACAGGAAGTCTACGTTTAAAACGCTGCGCATAGTTTGATTTGTATGTTTACTGAGATAATCAAATAGTTCGGCAAACTTAGGATCGGCATTGGCTTCTTCTAATAATTCTTCATACATTGATTTCCAAACTTTGCACGGCTTCGTCTGTGCTATTATCTAAAAGGAAATTATTTTTAAATAAATACAACTTCTGCTAAATGTTACAAAATACCTACTCCTATTAAAATATGGTGAATACTGCAGTGTAAATAAATGTTTAAACTTAATGTCGAATTTTTTTTAATTGGTTTCTGTGTACCCTCCGTTAGTTTTATAATGGTATAGAAAGAGTGAATATTTCATACAAAATATAAATTCTATGTTTTATTTACATTTAAGTTCAATATCCTTCACTGTTTAGTTTATATGTTTGTGAAAAATCTTACATCGTCCAACTCTTTAGGCAGGGAATGTACAGGTATTGGTTGCCATGGTAACTCTGGATGCCACATCTGCCGGTCCGATGGTGGGTAGAGCCCAGCAAGGAAGGTGTATGCACTCATCAAGCACCGAGACTTATCACTACTTCTTACATAAACATCCTTCTCATAATATTCCTCTGGGATAAAGTTAGCGTAATAGTTACGATACTTTTTACCCAACTCATACAGCTGTAGTTTTCCAGCCTAAAAAAATTTTAATGTTTAACATTTGGGAATTACACAAAAATAAACCATTAAAGGTTAGCCTAAAAAATGGGTTTTTAATTATTTATCCACAATAATACTGAATCTAAACTTTGTACCTTTTGTCTTGAAGAACTTTTTTTATACTCACATTTGTTAAACTTCCAAGTCCATCAGGCCATTGATAATTCTTGAAAGGATCACTTTTATAGCTTGATATTGGAGTTCTAGCACCATGACGAAATAGCTGTAAAAATTATTCAATCATGTTATATTCTATACATTTATGCATACTATCTTCATTAAAAAGAACTAAACCTGTACAATATCTTCATTATAAATATTATTTGATACATAAATTTAGTAAGGCATTGTAAAGGATATCCTCTTTAAATAATGTTAATAAATAAATAAATTCATTCATTTGACAATAAACTGTTTACAAAAATTGACCCTGGGCACATCCTGTATTGCGAAGACTTAGCTCAGCAGATTAACTAAAATACTATACATCATTAGATGCAACATATTAAACTATAATTACAATGTAAACTAATTTAAAAAGGTAGAAAAAAAAGAGTGCAACATGCATAATTACGATCGAAATTGCTTTATAATTGGTTTTAAAATCTGAGAATACTTACAACAATCACCAGACGCAATGTTTTAGATTCATAGGGTAGTGTTTCGCTTAGGACGCAGTACCCTAACAAACAACTGAGTACTGCTAATCCTAACACAATAACTGCAACTGTGTGCGATCTTTTCGGCATTGGCTGACAAGTAGTCTGCTTCAACGTAGACGATGATTGCCTTCGCCATGTATGTTCCTCTTTGTCGTACTCCATTGTGAATAGCTGCTATTATTGTAACTAAATCAAATTGATTAAATTTGCATTATTTTCAAACTAAATCCTTATCATTGATTTCAATAAAACTATTACAGGGTTACACGGCAATGAACAATATTATTAGAAACATAAACGTTTAATTACATCAGTGTATAAAGAGTCAAGATATAAACGATTGGCACTTCTAAATGCTTGTATAATAGCAAACAAAAACAAATTGGCAAGGATTCGCAATAATTTTTGTAATTGACATATGATTAATGACATTGACATTTGTTTACATGACGACGATGTAGCAGAGTAAAAATCAAAGAATAAATTAATCGGAATAGGTAAATTTAGTTTTTATAGAACGGTAAACTCGCTTTTGTAGATGTATAGCGGGAAAATGATTTACTGTTTTTTTTACATTAAGCTTATACTTTACAGTTAACGGGCATTGGGCACTGTTTACTGTTCTTTAATAAATACATTATTCATACAGTGAATTTGAATCACGGTTTAATAAAAAAAAATAAGAATGAATAAAATAATACTTTATTTCGATTAAATATATTTTAAACAACATTAACAAAGTGGACGTTAATTTGATTAGTCACAATAGATTAAGTTCTAAGAATTATTTAGTGTATGAGTATTTTTGGATCAATAAAATCAATTACTTACAAAAACAACACATATTTTGTAACATATTAAACAATTGTAAAGCATGATGATACTTATTTAACAAATACCAAAAAAGTAAATGCATATATTTATCACTTATCCTTAAATTCGACACAAAAATTAGTAAAAACGACTTATAGAGATATGACACAGTAAGAATAGTAAACACAGGTGTATTTTAGTTAAGAAAAATGCTTATAGGTCCTAGACCCAAACACATCACCTAAAATACAACCCTATAAACAATAGTGTATAATAATCATTAAAAATGACATCTTGTATACAATAGTATAAAATAAACATTAAAATAAAATAATATAACAGAGCTAAGAAAATGAGAAAAATCAGCCATCAACAAAATGTAAACATAATGTAATGAGAACAATTAAAGTATTAGTAAAGAAATTATTTTAAACCTGTGTCATACAGATATGTTAATAAAAAACAAAAAACATGCAAAAATTAGTATATAACAATATATCTAATTTTAATTCTTTGCTCCTTGGTCATTTGCTGTAAACGGATTATAGTCCTGAAGGCCCACTAGGTCAATTGACATGTCCCAAAGCTTTTTGGCATGCTCATCATTTAAAGCATTACGGTGTGGAGGGGTGGCAACACAGTCACTGGAAAATTTACAAAAATAAAACATACTAAACAGTAAAATTAGCTACTAATGTGATTTTCGCATCAACACAACTGTCAACTAAGCTTCAGTTAAAAAGGTATTTTCCTCTGGGAGCTAGTAGATAGGCTCGCTATACCACTGATTAAGGGTCTTGTTTTGAGCTTGAGAACCTAAAGCAAACCATGGGCCCCTGGACAGAAATTTAGGCAGGCCCAGTGCTGGCTTAAAATGGCAATGTAATAAATAACAAAATATGTATTTTTAATATCATATTTGTAAAATTCAACTAATACCTGTAGTATAATCCAGTTTCATTAGCACATTTCTCATCAACAGAGCAATATATTGTGGTTTGTGCGCCAAGTTCGGCAGATTTCATAAATGGTCCGACCAATACACCAAATAATGTTCTAGCACCCCTGAACATTGTTTCATTCATATGACGTCCGAGTTCAGTTTTGATCACGCCAGGGTGGAGACTGTATGTGTTAACTCCTTCTATATTATTTTCCTGTAATTTAACCAATAGTAGAAGGGAAGAGAATAATAGTAGTGTGAGAGCACTACATATTTTTTTTGCAAACAGTTTGATTAAGTAGAGCTGTCAAGCCAAAACTGTATAAAATAAAATCTGTGTTAATTGTGCACCTTCATTAAATTTTATAAGGATTAAGCAGATGGATTAAGGATTATTGACTAATCTGTGTAGTGTGTGAGGGCATAGATAATGTTAAAAATTCATTCATAGACAAGGACAATGATATTAGAAATACATATATTTGGCTTTTTTATGCATTGTCTAATTCAATTAAAAGGTGTTGCATGTACTAATGACTAAGTTTCGATGACTCATTGTGATGCTACACCTATATGTGTCATACAATAAATAAAATTATTCATAACATACTTTCAGTTTTGCTGCCAATTCCCTGGAGAATAGTACATTAGCAAGTTTACTTTGTGAATATGCCTCCATGGCACTGTATGGTCTCTTCTTATAGTTCACATCCTCAAAGTTAATGCCATATCCTGAAAAATTTATTGTTTAATTTGTTTTAATTCTCACTTGTCTTCATACTTTTTATCAGTCTACAAACATTTTATTTATTGGTTATAATGAAATTTGTGATGGAATTGACATGATTCTTTTTTGTTTGATGTAGAATAGTTGCCAATTAGAAAGTAACGAGTTTTTAAGTCGGTTTTTAATTTATTTTATCTAAATCACTTCATATCAAAACAATTCATTTTTGGACTTGAGATATGTAACTCTCCTCCATCACCACAAAATTTTGCATGTAAAATAAAATTTAGAGATTTATTACTTGTGTGAGCTTTGGATGAAACAGTCACTATTCTGGCTGGAGCACTGTTTCTTATGCGCGGCAGAAGCAGCATGGTCAAAAGAAAGTGACCTAAATGATTGGTACCAAATTGTGTTTCAAAACCATCTTCGGTTTCCCCCTTTGGACACATCATGACACCTGCATTGTTAACTAAGATGTTAACATGAGGTTCTGTGTCTAGCACTTTCTGGCTGAAATCGCGGACAGATTTCAAAGAAGATAAGTCACATTTCTCTAATACCAAAGTACCAGTTTCAGGTAAATCTTTACATTTTTCTTCTATTTCTTTCTTCGCTTCTTCACCTCTTTCCAAGCTTCGACATGCTAAAATTACTTTAGCACCTAAAATAAAATAGTAAGTATTATAGTAAATGTCATTTTAATTAAATTGGACATGAATTAAACAAAAAGTACCTCTCTTATAGAAATCTAACGCAGTTTCTTTTCCGATCCCTGTATTACTTCCCGTTATAACTGCAGTTTTCCCAATCAATTTAGCGGTACTCAAACATCTGCCACTAAAGAACGGCATTTTTATTCAGGCAAATAATATACTGTTTAAGGAAATACAGAAGACTTTATTAATGACAAAGGCTATTTATATAGATTTGAGTACCACATTCACAATGTTTCACAATGTTTTTTAAACAAGATGATTTGCCTGTTTGGTTTGGCGGTTACCGGTTA